CAGCTGCGATGGGGCAGGACAGGAGCCCTCAGCTACCTCGCCTGCTCTGGGCCGCACTGAGCCATGAAACCTGTGACAGTTCTCTCTAAACATGAGCAGCGCTGTGGGGAGGGGGGTGCCCCCGGCCCGCCCAGAGGAGAGGGGGGGTCCGACCAGATGGGGGTCCCGAGGCCCCAGGGTCCGCCTCCCACCCTGGGCTGTGGCTGGGTAACCCCCGGCCCATCGGTGAGATGCCTGGGCTGAGAGTCGCACACAAAGGCCTGCAGGGTACAGCTGGGGGGTCTCCGTGGCCGGGCTGTGGTCACTCGCGGTGCTGCTCCCCGGGGCCCTGCCGTTTCAGGTTCAAAGGCTAACTGCCCAGCCCAGGAGAAATGACCCAAGTCAGTCAGGGGCTTGTGGGCTGCACTGTATCCCCCAAAACTCATGCATTGGGGCCCTGACCCCCAGCACCTCAGAATGTGACTGTATTTAGAGACAGAACCTTTAAAGAGGCCGGTGAAGGTAAAATGAGGTCCCTGGTGTCCTCGCAAGAGATCAGGACACAGACACACACAGAGGGACAACCGTGTGGGGACACACCAAGGAGAGAGGCTCAGGGGGAACCGGCCCTGTGACACCTGGATCTCGGCCTCCAGCCTCCAGGATGGGAACAGTGTCTGTGGTTAAGCTGCCGGGTTTGGGTGTTTTGTTCCGGCAGCTCCAGGAAACTCACAGTGACGAGCGGCTGACCAGGCCCTGGCTGCAGGCCGAGTCCCCTCCCTGGCTGGTGCCCACCAGCCCAGACCGTCAGCAGGAGGCAGATACCAGCCAGTGCCTGGAGGGCAGGGATCTGCCAGGCCCTGGAGTCCGGGCCCAGCCTGGCAGGGTCTCCCCCGGCCCCTCCCAGCCTCAGTTTCCACCTGGATAAGTAACTTGGTCACCTTGGCCATGCGGAGCGAACCTGAGGAGCCACTCGCAGTGAGAACATGCTTTGTGGGGTGCAGGCTGTGGCTCCCGGTGCCGTGTGATAACCCAAAGTACTGGGACACCCCACGCTTCCCACTCTCCTGCCCAGCT